ACTTGTTAATTGCGAGCACGCCGCGATGACCGTCGTAATACCAAAGCGCTCGCTATAAACGATACCAATTTATCGTAATAGTCAACAATTGCCATTAAATTTACATAACCGTCTTTTATTAAACGGTAAATCTCCGCCCCGATAAATTAGCTTTTTAAACGTCAGAATGAGCATTTTCCCGTCTCTTGTTCATGCGTCTGTCGCGGTTTCGCAAAAAGCCCGCAATTTTATAGATTTATAGCGACAGGATGATCTTAACAAATGTAAGCCTTAGCGCAAAGGCCGCAGCTCGTCATTTATAAAGCCGGCTCGACCATCTTGAAGTAGCGATATTAAAAGAGCGTTCAGTAATTTTTCATTATTATTAGCCGCACGCACTTCAGTTCCAGTTAGTAAAAAAAGCCGAAAGTAATTAATTTCGCGAAATAAATGACCGAATTTTAATGAAAACGTTTCGCGGAGAATAAATTAGACGTCATCACTGTTGACGTGAGCCCCCCGCAAATAAGTTAATTAGTTGTGGCGCTGCTCCTCGTATTAACTTTTTCCTTTATTTAAATCTTTTGCAGATAAACTCTTCTGCTACCCGACAGGGAAATTTAATTATCTGGAAAGGAACGACGAGATTTAGCGTTTTCTTGTTGTGTCGTGAGGGCTTTATCTCCTTTTTTAAGACGTAGATCATAATAAATGGGAGCGGGCCGTTTTAAATTTTAAATTCGCCTGATCGGTGTAAATCTTTTAAGGAGATACTTGTTTTAAGAAATCCCGTTTCGACAATAAGATAAATTTATAAAACTTATTTCCATAGAATTGAGCCATTCATCGTAGCTGGAGGTATTGAATTTTTCAAGGGAACGGGGTTCTTAAACGTGTTTTTTATGGACGGACGTTCTACAATCTGTTTGTAAAATGGGGGTTTTTTATTTCAGACTTTTTCGGGGGAAATAAAAGGAGGAAAAGTTGGGTGACATTTTGTTCGCCGGGATCGTTATGCTCACGGATATGTGGCCTTGGCAGGAAATCTCGCAAGGTCAGGAGATTAGGAGATCGGGCAGAAAGCCGGAAAAAGCACGAATAGTTTATTCCGAAGCCGACTTATAACGAATTCAACGAAACACCGACGACAAAATCACAACAAACGGCTTAAAATCTTGAAATCACCGATTGAAAATTGTGCTAAAAACGGCGTTGGAGTTAAAAGTTTCAATTAAAGTTAAATTGATCCGGGAACTGGTTGCAATAAATGTGGCAGAAAATAATAAATGAACTACAACCCGGCGTTTTGCAGTTAATTTTAACACATTCAATTGCTTGAGCAACGTGGAATATTTGCAACTTAATTATTTTTGTCTGTTTTGCCGAATTCCTTTATGAATTATTTTGTATTTTTTTATTCGAGGTTTTCACGAAGTGACTGACGGCTGCTAGTAAAAAATTTAAATATTCAAACGGGACATGTCACCGTTTGTCCGTTTGACTCAATGTTAATTTTAAATAAAAGATACGTTTGAATTTTCGTCGAGGCCTGAAAAAAGCAAGACTTGTTGCTGTGTTTCTTGACGCAAAGCGTCTGTTTCGCTAGGAATTTCTTTCAAGTTTATATAAAAAATTATCTCATTTTATGAGCAAAGTTGAAATTTATAAATATTTCGTAAAAGAAAATTTACCTGGGGTAAAATCTGTGTTGGCTGTGTCGGCTTACTGAAACATCAATAAATTTTAAGAAACGCGTCGTTTATTCTTACACATAGCGTTTTCTGCGAACGTTTTTTCTCCACTTCTTCGATCCAATGCTCTTAGGATTCGAGAAGGTGCTCTTTTCTCAATTTCTTCGATTCAAAGATCTTTCGATTCGTCAAAGTCCCCTTTCTCCACTTCCTGGATTCAAAGATCATTCGATTCATCAATGTCCCCGTTCTTCCTTTTTTCCACTTTCTCAATCCAACAATCTTTCGATTTGATAAAGTCCCTTTCTCCACTTCCTCGATCCAAAGATCTTTCGATTCGACAAAATTCCCTTTCTCCTTTTCCTGGATCCAAAGGTCTTTCGATTCGACAAATGCCCCTTTTTCCACTTCCTCGATCCAAGGCTCTTACGATTCAACAAAAATAAATATTTTTAAAAATTATCATTCCGGCGTCTCCACCACAATTTCCAAAATTGTTAAAATTAATCAAATTACTATGAAATTGAGCATTTTTATTAAACATTTTCTCGAAATTACCAATCTAGATCTACGTAGGTGTAGGTTCAAATAAAGAAACTAAATTTATTTTTATATAATCACCAAAGTTAGGTTAAATCTCGAACTTGCAATTTTTTAAATAGTTAGACTCGAAGACATTTAAGGAAAAAATGCACCAGTTCTTCTAAAATGGATGATTTCCTGTAAGAATTTTGCTAAAACCCGAGAAATAGATATTTTTAAAAACTATTATTTTATTTTTTATTAATTTAAAATCAACGTTTTGTGCTTTGTTGGTAACACTGATATGAAATAAATTGATCTTTTTGTGTTGAAATCTGTGCCTGCTCTATTATTTTATTCAATTACTAAAAATAAAATTCGACCCGAAATTTGTATGTAAATTTAATGGCAATTATTGACTATCATGATCGACACACACACGCTGCACCCACTCACAACACCGAAACGTTCGTACCAGCGTCTGCGTTAAACACTCTACCCCTAATTATTCTCGCACTCTCACCAAAAACCAGCATCTGCGTCACCCACTCAATTCCCTAACTATTTCTCAACTCTCAAAGAAGTCTAGCTGTACACTTCACCTACGACAGTTTTCCAGCCAAAATCACGGCAACGAAGTTACGCCGCCCCCGGCTCCGAGCGCCTTCACGTCACCCCGTTACGAACCTATCAGCTGCAAGTCTTGGCGAAACTTTTGACATTTCCATATACACGCCGCCAATAACCTCCCCCTCCCCGCCCCCGAACCAATTATAACCTAAACCGGGCTCGACCGGTCCGCGGCGTCAATTACATTTTGCAATGCAAATCGCGCCCTGGCGGCGCTTCGTCGAACCGACGTAGATCAAAGCCTTAACGACGTCGATTCATCCGAGCAGGCCCTGCTAATTGGCGGGGGATTTCCTCGCGTGACTTTTCGCCATTACGTCACCGCATTGACTTTATGCCTTATCAGTGCAATAAAAATTTATGCGTCTGCGGTGGCGCGACCAGGGGCGGCGCGAGGGTATGAGACGCCTATGGACCGAGAGTAGGTATACTGTACATAATAATTGTCTTTGTGGTAGTTATTAGAAACTTGAAATTTGCTTTCTTTATTAAGGGTTCGAGTGGTGTGAAGTCGTAGTGATTATTGTGAGACGGCTTGTGGTTCCCCGTCTTCGCCGCCCCGATCGAAGCAGCAAAAGTTGTAGCCGCGTTTGATTGTTTAACAGTCTCTTGGGCGCCGTTCGGAAATCCTCGGGAATTTTAATAGGCCGGACGAGAGAATTACACGGCAATGCAGATGTTCGCGCGATTTATGGATATGGCGGCAAATTGTACAAAATGGACGATTAATCGAAGCCGAGCGCCGCCTCCATCAATAAGGCCGAAGGTCGGCCGAGTTTGTCTTTGTGAATAGAGATGGCGGTTACTCGAGTCCAAACAAAATTTCGCAGGAGATGGATTGATTGTTTGATGTCGAAAGTCGGGAAGTGCCTAGTTCTGGATTCCCTTTATCGAGAGCCTTTCGGGAGAATCTGTCGCTCTTTCCGGGGACGGCGGGGGCGCGATTTTTGCGATGTTGGTTTAGCGTGATTAAGCGAATCATTTCGAGAGAATGACCCTACAAAAGGAATTAATTTGGAGAAACTGTTTCACCTGGGCATCGCAGGCACAAAGTCGGTTGAATTCCGCCACATTTGCAACACAAAGCGCTCTAAAGATAACTCCTGACAGGTGCTCGGGACCAACTTTTCATCCCCTTTGCGCGCCTCGAACGGGTGTCACCACCGCAAAATCGCCGAATACGACAATTTCGGGAAGACCTTTTGCTTCTTCTGACGAACGTCGCTTCCAGGTTAACGATCTATTATTCTTTTAGCGGTGCACTCGGCCCGTTTCAACAACCCTCACAATGGGCCCTCAACGAGATCATCGTTGGGGTTGTTCTAATTTGAGACAAGGATGGCGCGCTTTGATGATTAATTCATGAAGAAATCGCGACAAACGAAACCCTGTTATTTTGTTCAGGTGTCAAAACATTCAACTTTGAACGATTTCCCCGGAAATATTTAGCATTTAAACATTTCCGGCACAAGTTTCTTACAAAATCCCGAAATAATTATTATTAAAGTTATTTTTTATTAGAGTGCCTCAGCTACTTTTCCTCAAAAATTTAAACTTGATCAAGTTGATCCGAACAATGTATTCTTATCCACATTTTATTAGCTTACAGATTTCAAGAAATTTAAACAAATGTTTCATTATAATTCCTAGAAATAAATATTTTTAAAAATTATCATCCCGGCGCCTCCAACATTTTGTTTTAAAAATTTAAAATTGATTAAACCGATATAAAAAATTGTATTTCTGGTGAAAATTGTCTCAAGATGACGAATCCATAACTACTTTTATCGTAATTGTATTGTCTAATAATAATTTAAACATATTCTTTTATTTAAAGTTAATATACATTAAACTAAATGGACTCTACAGCTTAAATTTTTTGCCACTTGCTCTTTCGTGAAACCCCCGAATAGCTGAAAGAGTTTTTTTTTGGCTGCACAAGAAATAAGGGCCGTAATGGCAACGGGCCTAGTTTTATGTTAGGTAGTGTGTCGTCACCCCTCCCCCTGCGACACATTTGTACCAAATCCCGCAACCAGCTCATAAAAAAGTAACCCGATTTCCCGCGCCTCGTCTCAGTTAAATTAATTTTCCCAAACCCCGTCGCCCATTTCCAGCGGCGCATCTCGCCTAAACCGCCACGACAAAAATCCCTAAATCGGCCTTCATTTGTTCCAGGTCCGTAACGACTTCGGCTGACAAGATGGATTTTTCAGCGCATCGTCCGTAACAAATAACCCGGTGAGTTTCCATCAAGCGCGCCGAACAGGTGCAAATTTCGCAGCCAATCTCCCCGAAAACAGCCATTGTATCCCGAAATCACCAATGCAAATCCGCCCCCTACAGTCGTCTTCATTTTTTTTCCAGCCGCCATGAATCTCATCAACATGGACGCCGAAAACAGGGTGGTCCTGAACGTGGGGGGCATACGTCACGAGACGTACAAGGCCACGCTCAAGAAGATCCCGGCCACTAGATTGTCACGTCTGACCGAGGCCTTGGCCAACTACGATCCCATACTCAACGAGTACTTTTTCGACAGGCACCCGGGAGTCTTCGCGCAGGTCCTCAATTATTACAGGTCAGAGGGCTGTTATTAAAAGTCGCCGCGAATTAAACGGCGGGGGAGTTTTACGAAGTCGGTCGGGCGAAAAAAGACTTCGGATTTGCATGAGGAGGGGTGATTACGGGGGAGGTGGGCCGTCATTAAGGTACTCCGACCCGACGAGCCAACTTCACAAAATCATATTCATTATTTCGGCGCTGGAAAAGCGCTTCGAGAGATTTTCGCCTCTATTATTCGGTGCTGCAGCATTGTTTAAGCTGAGTACTGATTTGACCCAACCTGTTAAATTGCTTCCCTTATCAGCAATAAAGTTTGATGTCTGTGCAAGCCAGCCGCTCCTTCGGTGCCTCTGCTCTGAAATATCGTAAATGCGCTCGAGAGATTTCAGCAGGCGATGATGTATGATGTAAAATACGCTGTCACTTCGGGTCCTTAGGGGTGCCCTTTTTTCTCCCCTTCGCCCGCCCCTGCCGTGGCGTGCTAACGAAGCTCCTCCAGCGCAATAAATTCTTTACGTAGTGGAAATGGCGCTTTTAATACTTAAATATCTCAAGTAAATTCTATGGGAGATATCAGGAAACCCATTTAAGCTTTTAATGTCGAATAAACTCGGTTCTGTAGACGGCGTGAGAAAACCTGTCTGATCAACGATTCAATTCGTCTTCTCACTTTTCCTCGATCCATCAAATCTATCTGGAAATTTTCCCGAGGCAACATATCATTCGTGACAAGCGAACGGAAAACTCGGTAAATGTTTACTATTGCGAAAAAGTTCGCACGCGTTTTTAAACTTGTAGAACAAACTAACACGAACCGAGGAAAAACTGGCGACGAGATCCAGACGAACTAGGGATGTGCTTAATGGCACAAAAACAAAGAAGCGGATGAATGTGCGGAATAAGGAAAATGAGATTAGGCACAATGGCGGGAATTAATTTTTATGTTTATGTAAAACAGAATCCATTTAGGACGTTAAGATGGGATTCGAGTTTATGAGCGCTCGTATGAGATAATGTTCAAATTATAATGTTGGCAGTTAATTTGAAGCGAATTTGGCGGGAGAGCGGTCGTAAACTAGCGACATCTTATTCCGACTAATTTACGGTTTTACGTTGTTGTAAGTAGGTAGAAGCGAATCCAATACGTGAATTTAAACCACGATTTCTGGGCACCTTTGCCGCCGACAAATATATTCTAAAAATTATCGACGAAAACTCTCGTTTCCCTTTTGCTTTCCCTGCTGAAATATGCAATCATCTACTGTCATTAATTCTTTGACCCAGTTATTTCCAATATCCGGTCTGTTTAATTACGGCCGCTCATCATCATTTGTCCCCAGAGAAACACAAATTTTATTTAATTGAGTCCATTGGACGACTGGCTACCTTTATGTTTTCTCGACGTTCCATGACCCCTAGACTACGAAAAAATAGGTGCCCGTTTCCGTCTGTCTGTCTGTCTGCATCTGTTCGCTCAAATTTGCAATCCGTTTTACTTCCCGATTTTGCGTCCCCAGGACCGGGAAGCTGCACTACCCCTCCGACGTGTGCGGCCCCCTGTTCGAAGAGGAGCTCGAATTCTGGGGTCTAGACGCCAATCAAGTCGAACCCTGTTGCTGGATGACATACACCCAGGTAAGTAACAGGATGTTATTAATTTCACACTGTGTAGAATTTAATTAACATGGAAATTGTCGGTCTCAGGATAATGCTAGGATAATGTTAAAGTTAGATTCAGCCTGGAGGCATTCGGGGATCGCGCCTTACGCAAACACGCTCGAATTCCAGGCCAGGATCGATATTTTTTCCACCCAACAATACACAACGACAAAAACTTTCTGACAACCTCCATCTGTCAAGTCCGCAAAAACAACCCTCTTCTTTAATCGCCACTTCTTCTATTTTTAGGCGATCGCTCCAGATTTATGGTCGCCGTATCGGTAAACATGACTGCCGAAATCAACAAAAGCTATGAAAACCGAGCTGTTTGTTTTGGATAGTTCGATTGGGGATGATTTAGGGCCGGTCCGATAATGTTTGTCCAACTATTACTCAAAATAATGCCGCCGTGTTTGCAGTCGAAGGGACGCCACAATGTCGGAGTGCGATTTTGAAAAATTAGCGACTCACAGTTGGCTTCAATTTTAAAAGTGCTTGAGGCCAGTCCGGCCCTGCGGCGGCCTTGAACTAAACGGCGCTATTCGCACAAGGTGATTAGGGAAAATTACGGGGGAGGTTCTGAATTAGAATTGCTAATAAGGAAATTAATTGCATAATTAGTTTTTAATAATTAGGGATGGTTTAATTATTTGTACGGACGTATGTTAATTGAGTTCACCTTGAATTTTCTTTTGTTGTCGTATTCACTTTGGAAAACTTATCCTCGTTCCGTTAAAAATCTCGCAAGCTTTGTCTGTTTATTAATATGCGCGGTACTTAATGTAGCGTCAAAAATTAGATTAAATTTTAATTTTAAATTTGCGATGGAGTCACTAAGTGTGATGTTGATTAATTAGAGCTGCATTTTAAAAGACGGAAGATGGATTGGATGTAATCTGTGTAAAATTAAACTGGAGCATATGAAGTCAATTATGAACAGCACGATGGAAAAGATTTGCGAGCTGCTTAATTCAATTTAATTTTATGCCTCCGTTTTACATGATAGAACAAAATTAAGCGTTGTACTCTTTATTAATCGGACTATTTTAGTATTAATTTAAATAAATGCAAGGTTTTTGACAGTTTTCTGTTCAGGAGACTTGGAATGAATTCCGTGAACAATTTTTTACAGATTTTCTAGAATTTTTACTTTCCTAGCATAAGCTAAGGAAATATTGTAATCGAGACGTCATTTATATACAAAATAAATTGTACGGAACCACAGTATACCCCTTGAGGAGCACTGGAAACCACAGTGAAATCAAGTTACCCGGTTTTACAAACTGACAACCCTTACTAATAAAACTTTCTACCCATTTAATACATATAGGATCCGAATTCATGTTTTTCAGCTTTGCCACCAATATTTTATGGTCCACACCGTCAAAGGTTGTGATAACATGCGTCACCTTCCAATGCATTAATAATAAAGTCCTCAAATATAGATAAATTTGTTAAAATCGTTGTGGTCGTTTTCAGCACAGGGACACCCAGGAAACCCTCGCAGTCCTCGACCGCCTGGACCTCGACACCGAGAAGCCGAGCGACGAAGAGATCGCTCGGAAGTTCGGTTTCGAAGAAGACTACTTCAAGGGAACGCTGAGCTGGTGGCAAATGATCAAACCCAAAATATGGTCGCTTTTCGACGAACCGTACTCTTCGACGGCGGCCAAGGTAGGAACCGGAACTCGATGATTTATGCGACATTATGTCCGAAATTCGTGTTCGTGCCAAAGGGAACATGCCAACGGGGAGCTTTATGCATTCGCAGACACGCGAACTTAGATTACAAAAGAATAGAGAGGCGATAAACATCTCGGGCGATATTCGGCAAATCGCGGGAAATTCGGGGGCGCCAGAGAGGCACTAAATCATTAGTTTGGCTAAAATATAGGCAAAGTCACCTTCTGTCCCCTAGACCTCAGTCCCTTAGACACTCCTCATTACTGACCGCATTTTTGGCGTTTTGCGAATCTCTTGCAGGTAATAGGCGTACTATCAGTATTTTTCATCTGCGTGTCGATTCTGTCGTTCTGCCTGAAAACCCACCCCGACATGAAAGTGCCCGTCATCAAAACCGTCCCCGTCCGGACTGCTACCAATGGGACAGACTTCATCATCGACAAGTTCGACACGGACGCCCACGTCGCTTTTTTCTACATCGAGTGCATCTGCAACGCATGGTTTGTACAGTTTTGTGTGTGGAACAATGGGCTTGCAGTTAATTAAACCCTAAGTCTGAAATCGGCCGCAGTTGCATTGTTCCGTCGAAATTAAGCGGTGTTTGTTTTCTGAGAGCGCTCTCGCAGCGCCAGATTCTGTTGGTCCCTTCTAGATTTAGTTGTACTAGATCTAGGACCGACCACGTTGTCGCTGGACATCGAAAAGGTACTTGGGACCTTATTCGTATTGTTATTCGTATTCGTAGGTTCACCTTCGAGATCCTCGTCCGCTTCATCGCCTCGCCCAACAAGTGCGAGTTCATCAACTCCTCCGTGAACATAATCGACTACATCGCCACCGCCAGCTTCTACATCGACCTGATCCTCCGCCGGTACGCCGCCCACCTCGAGAACGCCGACATCATGGAGTTCTTCTCCATAATCCGCATCATGCGCCTGTTCAAGCTGACCCGGCACTCCTCCGGCCTCAAGATCCTGATACAGACGTTCCGCGCCTCCGCGAAGGAGCTCACCCTCCTGGTGTTTTTTCTAGTGCTGGGTATAGTGATTTTCGCCAGTTTGGTGTATTACGCGGAAAGGATACAGACAAACCCTGACAATGACTTCAAGAGTATCCCGTTGGGGCTGTGGTGGGCGCTGGTCACTATGACCACGGTGGGGTACGGAGACATGGTGCCAAAGACGTACATCGGGATGTTCGTGGGGGCTTTGTGCGCTCTCGCCGGTGTGCTTACTATCGCCTTGCCCGTGCCTGTGATCGTTTCCAATTTTGCCATGTATTACAGCCATACGCAGGTAAGCACCCACCCCCTCAACCCCACTCGAGGAGTCTCTATAGTTTCTAGGCGTCGCGGAAAGTCTAGATAATAAACTCAATCTTGTAGGCAAGAGCGAAACTTCCGAAGAAACGCCGCCGAGTCCTCCCCGTGGAGCCCACGCGGGGCCCCCGACTGCCCGGGCAGGGCCCCACGGGTCCTCCAGGGGTCCCCGTGAGCTCCGCCGCCGCTCAGAACCGCCGAATGAACGCCGTCAAGTCAAACCATCCCAAGGACATGATGGGCGGGCCCGGTCCCAAGATGGGTAAGCTGCGCCCCCTCGCCCCAACACGCTCATCCGATCATTCATTTCCCCTGTCATTTGTTTTCTCGATTAGATAATGACCGTCGATTCGACCACGTGGTCATCGATAGAAACGACAGTCGCCATTACGACGACCAGATGCTTTGAGGAGGTTCGAGTGTGTCCGTTAGGTGGCGTATGTCACGTGATCGCACTACACTATTTTGACACTTGTGGTCGGCATCGCGTTGGCCTTGGCACGACAAACGGACACCAGTTGGTGGGTGCGTTCCAAGGCCAACTCGACGGGGCCCTACACTTGCTCACGCAGTGGCGGCGTTTCAGTAGTGGGCGAACGGCGTTTTGTTGAGAAACCTAACCTCAATCCGAGCTTGCACGAACCCGGCCGATGAAGTTGTCACGTGGCGCGAAGACCTGCTTGATTTAATGTTTCATCGTGTGCGGAGAAAAATGAAAAAGTCGACTTGGAATGGCTCTTATCTCGCAGACGACTATACGATTTTTATTGTTCGTGTATTATCGTTTCAAGTCGTAATTTTGAACGACTTCTCGTTCTTTACTTGGCAGTTTGCTGGATAGTTTTAGCGGATGAAGATATTTCCTGACAGATTGTACACAATGTTTAGTCGGAAAAACGGCGCTGGGAGTGGCGGTTTAAGGGTGTTTTTGCACTGGAGAGTAGGGGGGTTTTATGGAACTGTTGCCAAGTTTATGACGGAGAACTAGCGCGGATTAGTGAAAATCGAGTTGTTTCGAGAGATAGCGAAACGAGTGGCGTTTTCAGCTGCAAATATAACGATAAAAATAATTAAAAAAAAAAAATTGTGAGACGCCACTGTTCGAAAAACCGTAATAAATTAGATGCAGCAGTGTTGTCACATTTAACGTAAAACATTAAAGCAATCAATACGACACTTCCATCGCCTATGAAAAATAAATCCGCCAATAAAGTGCCAACTTCATCCGCCGATCTAATCAACGCCCTGTCTACATCCGACAAACTTTTTCAGGTATGGACTCCTTTAACTAACCTCAAATTCCTAGTCACGTACACTAAGGTATGTTCAGCAATTAAAGGTGGTTTCACAGTTCTGAATATAAATTGCATGCAATGTTTGGCATTTCGCAATTAACCGATCAATGCTTGAGACGAAAGTAAAGCGACGTTCACACACTACTCAAACGTAACGAGCGCGTCTGTGTTTTTCTTCTTCATTTTTGAAATTTTTTTCGACGCCCCTCTGTTGTGTTTTTCTGACCACAGGCCTGTTTTTTCAGATGATGAACGTCGTCATTCGAATTTGCGTTTGAACGGTACGAAAACAAACACAGAAATGAATAGGGAATAAAAACACGATGGGGTATTATTAAAGTGATGTTTTCGTTGTGGAATGACTAATCTTAGTTTGGCATGTTATATTTTTGACGTTACGTGTTCTTTACCATAACCTTAATTACCCTGTAATTTCCCTGGTACAAGCGTGTATCGTGTGTGGTATACTTTAGCGTTTACTAAACGAGATTCTGCATGGTAATGACTAATGATGATGAGGTTAATGGAACGACGTTGTTATTAGTTTTATTGTTGTTGGTGTATTTTCGTTGTGGGAATGAGAAGGCGATTTTTTGTTTGTTGTAAGTAGATGACTAGGGTGTTTGACTGTTTGTTCGGTGCTAGTTGTCGTGATTTCGTATTTATATTTCAGAATTCTGTACTTTTATCAGTCTAGTGTGTTGGTTTTTTGGACTCATATGCATACTTTGGGTGGAATTTCGACAATTCGGGAAAGTTTATCAAAAATTGTCGATTGTTGAGGTTCCACTTTGGCCCTCCTTCGGCACCATTTTTCCATTTCTCTCACATCTGATCGCTTTCACTCATGTCGCTTGCGCCCCTTCGAAGCCCGCCCTAAGCTAGGTGTCCGCAGGTACCGTAATGAGCGTGGTGACGTCATCACTCAACCCCAACGGCCTGGAGTCGAACCCTGCCGTAATGATCTGCAAGCCCAAGCTGGAATTCTCTCCTTCGCAGGTGAACCTTGCCCAAGGCTCCGGCCAGACGTACACCACCCTGAAATCACCGAACTAAAGCTGCCAAAAACTCTTCACCAAGAACTGGAAAGTGCTCGAGTTTTGTATGTTGTATAGTACACGTAGCATATCGTGATTAAGTAATAATAATAATAATAATAATAATAATAATAATGTTAACAATAGTATTAAGCGAGCATCCCGTCAGACGGAGACTTCCAAGCGGCAGAAATTGCAACGCCACTGGTAGTAGTAACGACATATCCGGTCCCACTTGCTCAGCGTAGTAACAATAGCATATCTCACGTTGCAATTTTTGGTTGGCGACCCGGCTGATCGCGACGGGGTTTGAGTATAGAGGGCGCTGCCGTGCTCAGGCCTCTACAGGGTGTAGTGCATATTGCAATAGGGGTTAGGGACCAATCAGTATGCACAAATCGACGTGTTAGATGTTGTCAAACTACGATCTTTCGGCTTTACTTCTCAGATTTTCCCATTCTAAATGTATAAAAGATTATTGTTGAGAGTTGTTGTACAAATATGGGTCCATGTTGAATTTACAAAGTTTATTGGCGAGTTTTTAAGACGGGAGTCATTGTGTCACATATCTGTGTTTTCGTTCGGTTCTCGATTTTTTCTAACGGTTCGGACCAAGAATGTAATATACAATTGAAGGAAACTATAATCATTGTGATACACAGTTGCTAGAGTATTAATTTTTTTGTAAAGATATTGTAATCGCTGTATTACTGTAAATTACGATTTTTGGCCTTTGCTCTTATTGTAATGAAACGTAGATTAGGGACATTTTAAAATTATCGCTGATAGACCCGGTTTACCAGCGACTAAAGTAAAATGCTGTATGACAAAGAAACTATAAAGCGTTTATCTATTATAATAATAAAACAGATAGTATACTTAATTATACTGTTCTCGATCATATTATTGTTATGATTGCTGTTATTGTGGGCTTTTTTAAAATAGATTTTCTACCGTGGCCGATTGCTCTTCTGACTAATAGGACGTAGAAAATTTATTTTATCGGCGACGATGATAATGATGATTGAAATAATAATAATAAAACTTGTATTATAGTAATAATAAATTTTAAAAGATATTTCCATGTTACGAAATGATGCGACTTTGTTATACATACACATTAAGCATTGTAATAACAACACTAATTATTTCACCTTCTCACCACGTAATTATATGATAAGTTGTTGGATTCTTCCTGAACATGATATGAGAATTGTAGAAATTTCGATAAATAAATAATACAGGATTTTATCGACTTTTTCATTATTTACACGACCCCTCATTCATCACTCGATAGAATACTCCAAAACAAGCCACAGTAGCAAACGTACAATCTGTGCGGTGCCGCCATCTGTGGTACAGTAGCAAAACCTGCACCAAAAAAATGAAAGCTTTGGCTTCCGGAACTTCTTATTACTAGTGCGAAGCACAATTTAAAAAAAAAAACAGCCCCTTCAAAAAAATTTATGACAACGACGCTATAATAAACTTGTTTTCCTTTCTCGGGCAAATTCTCCAATAGGTGGAGAAAAAAGTTTTCAATTTGTTTTCTAAATTGTTCACTTGAGTGACTATTAATGGTATTATATCTAGTTATGATGACGTATCAGCAAATCAATTTTAAAGTTAATATTCTAAATTTTCTAAATGGTGGAAAATTAGTTAAATCTGCTTTAATTTCCGAGTGGTGAAACTGTTGGAGTAGCAGACTTGTATATAACGTCATATTGTTAGTTCTCGTATTTTTCCACTCCTTGAATTTGCCCCATCAGTGTTATTTTGGTACAGATATTGTAGATAAGCCTACAACAATACCAAATTTTCACAAGACCGACTTCAACTTTTAGAGATCTTTTTCACTACGAAAGTACTCATTAACTTCTTATCGAAAATTTCTACCAAACTCAAGTGTGAAATGTCGCACTGCTTTATCCCTTCTTTCAAACCACACTAAACTTTGTCTTGACATAACTTTGTTGTAAAATATGTTTCAGAATATCGGTGGCGATTTGTACATAATAGCATATGACGTTTATCCAGTTGATAAGATAAGAATTATGGGTACACTTATATAAGTTTGTAAATAACAAAATTGTATTCATATTTTGATAAAAAAACATGTTAGTCAGTTTAAAAGGTCAAGTTTGATAATTTATTTCTTTGTACCGAAATGGTTTTTCCCACGATATTTAACTGATGTAGTTATTTCAATTTTTATGGAAGTTCCAAATCTTCGCACCTTGGACACGATTGGAAAATTTCTGCAAGACAAATAGAAAAGATGCTCGTATTAATCCGGAAATAACTATTTCCTGTTGATGTAAACATCAAAATTATATGTACTAGATGGAGGAGACAGAAGTTTAGAAAAATTAATAGCGACTTCTAGGTGGTACCCCACTAGGGTTTTCACCTGCATTAAGTGTCAATAGTTAAAAATTTTTGATTATTATTAATTTCATTCGCTTTGATAAAAATACATAGAAACATTTGAAACCGGAAAAACCCAAACAGATACTTAAAATCTTCAAATAATCTCTAGTACACAGACGTAACTAGAAGATCAATAATAGATTGGAATTCCCTTCCAGGAAAAATTCTAGTGCGGCGACATTATTAGTTTTATAAAAGAGATAAAGTGCTGCCACTTTGACTGATAAACTTAATAAAATGATAATTAGGTACCACAGAGTAGTACTAAGGAGATAAAAAAATCCATGTTCGTCACAACATGACTTATAAAAGGATTAAAGCGTTTTGACACACATCATCGTTTATTAGGTGTCAGTGTGGATATATATAACGCTGTCTGAGTGTAGTACTTCAAAACAAAAGGGTTTTCCATTTCGCTAACGTAAGTGAAAGTTTCGTTAAAAGTGATCTTATTTGATAGTTTAAGGTATGAATTCTGCAATTCAGTTTTTTACATTAGCGCTTTCTCGTTTAGAAAACGGTTATTTTTCCTTTCCCCCCCCTTTTTTTTTTCTCCTTTTTTTTTCAATGTCTCGGTGTCTTATCCTTAATTAAGCACGTGACTTTTAGTGAGCTTCACTCATCCAATTTAAAATGACCGCAATCGCGCGAAAAATCGTCGACCTTAGCGGCGACACCAAAATCACCACCAACGTTGACGTTCTTTCGGAAATCTTCAATCACCCGGACCTCAAAGACAAACAAGTGTGTGTGGTTTCAATCACCGGTACTTTCCGCCAAGGAAAGTCGTTCCTCCTCAATTTCCTATTGCGATACTTAAACCTGAAGGTAAGTACCGAAACGAAGAACTGGACACCTCCAAAGTCGTACCAACTTTCAGTACAAGAGCAAATCACTATCGTCCGAAAAGTGGTTATCGGCTGACGGCGGTGACCTTTCCGGGTTTGCGTGGCGGTGCGGAAGCGAGAGACACACAACTGGGATTTTGATGTGGTCGGAAATTTTTCTGGCAAAACTACCGTCGAACAAAGAGGTAGCCAAAAGACGTACTTTTACACCAGAACTGATTTTTTAGTCACAGGTTGCTATAGTACTCATGGATACGCAAGGAACGTTTGATAATAAAACCACCAGGCACCATTGTGCAGCTATTTTCGCTATTAGTACTCTAATCAGTTCGGTACAAATCTACAACCTCAGGAACCAAATCAATCAGGCGGATCTCGAACACTTGGAAGTACGTTTTTGGAATTTGTAGGGCAAGCATCAACGGCAAATTAGTGCTTTTCAGGGTATGGTCAACTCGCGATGGATCAAAGTTCGCGCGAAGCGCCTTTCCAGAATCTTTGTTTTTTGATAAGGGATTGGCAGTACCCGTTTGAGGCCAGCTATGGTACTGAAGGGGGCCAACACTATTTGGGTCAGTTTTTGAACGCTGCAGAGCAACCAGAAGAACTGAGGAAGCAGAACGAGAACATTAAAAGACTTTTCAAAAATATCAATTGTTGTTTGTTGCCGCATCCGGGGGGGAAAGTTGCCACAAATCCCTCGTTTCAAGGACAACTAGAAGGTTAGTTGGTTTCAAAAGGAATTTATCGACAACTCGTGTTCTAGAAATCAGTGAAGAGTTTCTTCAAACCGTCGAAGCTTTTGTTCCTTCCATTTTAGCGCCAGAGAAGCTGGTTCCAAAAACGGTGAACGGGGAGACAATCAAACTTGGAGATTTGGCACATTTTATTCAAAGTTATTGTCAAAATTTTATGAATGACGATATACCCAAATTGGAATCTATGTACATGGTGAGTGATTCATATCAATATTTTTTGATACTGAAGTTTTTGCGTTCTGGAACAGGCCACTTCCACTGCACACTACAAAGTGGTACTAACAGAAGCCCAACAACTATACCAAAATACCATGAACCTTTTAGTCAATGAGACTTCAGACATTTTGGCTGATGTCAACTTGCAAGCACACCACACATTAAAAAAATCAGAAGCTATCGACTACGTCAAAAGCAAAAATATTATGGGAGACGAAGAAATAAAGAGGGCGTCTCTTGCAAAACTGAGTCACGTAAGTCATTTTGACCGTTAAAAATGTTTAGTTAAATTTTGTTTCAGGATTTGGATGAAATGTTCCTATCTTATAAAAAACTCAACCAAATTAAAATACAAAGAAAAAAGGATCTTGACAAGTTTAATAATGATCTTCAGTCCACGAAACAACAGTTTGACAACAAATTGGAAAACTATCAAGGGATTATCAAACAACAGGTTAAATTAGTTCTGCCTTATCAAGTTTCAAGTTTGATCTTTTTTTTTTGTAGGCAAGCACCATCGAACAATATTGTAAAACTCAACAAGAACTCCAGCAGCAAGTAGGAAATCTGGTTAATCAAGTTAACAACAGACCTAAAGAACAAGTACCACTTATCTGCAGTGTCATGTAAATTTGTAGAGTTTCATAGTCTTGAATAAATTTTTTAAAACAACCAAAGTGTGTTCGTTCTAAATGAAACAAACTTTCTAAGACACAAATAAACATACATAAAATTGCAGACGATGCAGTCGAGTAACCCTTGTGCCTTGAGACTCGTCAATTTGGACGGTACCCGAAAAATAACCACAGATCTCCAAGTACTGCAAGAACTCTTCCTGCAACCACAAATCAAAGATAAGCAAGTTTGCGTGGTGTCAATAACTGGGACTTTTCGTCAAGGCAAATCATTTTTGTTGAACTTCCTCCTGCGGTACTTAGATCTGAAGGTAAGACCAAACGGTTGGAAAATCCACCATTACCATTTTTCTTGCAGTATAAGAAAAAAATCTCAGTGGACAAAAACTGGCTGAGCGTGGGTGACAGCAAACTCACAGGTTTTGAGTGGAGAAGTGGCAAGGAAAGACACACAGTGGGGATTCTAATTTGGTCCGAAATCTTCCTAGCGGAACTACCTTCAGGAGAAGAGGTACCACTTCCTACCGGTTTCAAATTTCGTCTAATACTCTTGTATTTAGATTGCCATCATCTTGCTAGACACTCAAGGTACTTTCGACAACAAAACCACCAAGCAACACTGCGCTGCCGTTTTCGCCATCAGTACCCTCATCAGCTCGGTACAAATCTACAACCTCAAAAACCAAATCAGTCAGTCGGATCTGGAACACATGGAGGTACTTCTTTGGCTTGGACTCGATTCTATTCAAAATTTCAGTGCTTTTCAGGCTACGGTCAGCTGATTGCGGGCCAGAACTCTTCAGAAGCGCCGTTCCAGAATGTGTGTTTTCTGATAAGAGACTGGCAGTGCCCTTACGAAAACCCCTACGGGGTAAGAGGAGGCCGGAACTACCTAGAAGAGTTTCTAGACGCACCTGGACAACCCCACGAGCTAAGAAAACAAAACGCCAACATTCGAAGTTTGTTCAAAAAAATAAACTGCTTTCTTTTGCCGCACCCTGGAAAGAAGGTGGCCACGGAAATATCTTTCCGAGGTGAACTTCAAGGTTTGTTTTAAAAATACTTAGAATGATTTTGAATAATAATAATGTTTCGTTGCAGACGTCAGCAGCGAGTTTGTAGAGTCGGTCGAAGAACTAGCCCCCTTTCTTCTATCTCCTGAGAATCTAGTACCGAAAACTGTCAACGGTCAGAGGATAAAAGTCGGCGATTTGGTTCACTTTGTGCAAAGTTACTGTGAACATTTCATGACTGGAGATCTGCCGAAACTGGAATCGATGTTCCTGGTGAGTTCTATGTGAACATTTTTGTCAAAAATTTTGTTTGTGGGTTTATTAGGCGACGTCTGCTGCTCACCACAGCGCCGTTTTGGCAGAAGCAGAAAGTCAGTATAAGGCGTCAATGAATTCTTTAGTGGAGCAAGCAGAAGCCTTGGAAGAAATCCATCTAGAAGCTCAGCACAAACTTCTGAAAGCAGAAGCTGTTAAGTTTTTCCAAAGCAAGAACATGATGGGTGATGACGAAATGAAGAAAACGTGCGAGGCGAAACTCAGTCAAGTAAAACTTGCGTGTTTTAAATTCGTTTCACTGTTGATGTGTTTCCAGAGCATAGAGAACAGTTTTGTTGAGTATAGAAAAGTGAACTCTATGAAACTAGAGAAAGAACGACAAAGGAGAGAATTTGGGGAAAAATTGAAGAAAACTGAGAATGAGTTTCACAATAAGTTTGAGCAACAAAGGGAAAAATATGATAATATTGTGGAGCAACAGGTGTTGTCGTTATTTGTTTTTTTAATAGCAACAATTAATGTTTTTGCAGCAATCTGTTATTTCGGAGGCGCAGAAAGCACAAAGTGAACTTCAAAATAATGTGAAAGACTTGCAAAATCAGATCGATGATTTACAAAGAAATGAAGGAGACCCGATACTGAAGGGAATTGCTGAGATTGTACAGGGTGCTACAAATGTCGTTGCAGGAGTGGTGACATCGCCATTTAGACGCTTATTTAAGTAATATGTGGCACATAATAAACAAGCACTGTTGTAATTTTCTTAAAGTGTTTATTCTTTACCTTTTCCAATAGGAAAGTTACAAGAATAAAGTATAAAATGAGAGTGACATTTATGTCATAATTTGTTATGGATTATTTTTATTAAAATGTCATAACCAAGCTTTCATAAGCTTTTAAAAATGACGTTGGTTGACAAATGCCAGTACTTGTTGATCACGCTGTAGAATTTAATTAAAAATAAAACCTTGTGAGCAGTTCAGTTTGGATCAAAATCGCTTATATAGCAAAATTTGTATCATCGTGTGATCAACCAGACGATCTGCGAAAGCAAAACGAGAACATCCCAAATCTTGTAATTTTTAAAGAAACAGGATTTGATGGGCTGTACTTCAGGGGCGAGGGAAGGTCTGTCGAAATAATCTTCGACCAATTTTTTAGTTTGGTTAGACTTTTAGTGTCGAGCCTATGGGACATTAATCTGTTATTATATATTATTAAAACTCGTAAAAGCGCAAGAATCCAGACGATGCGCACTTTAATTTTCAAAAGTACTGCTCTAAAACACCACCTAACGATACAGTATACGTACTCATTGTATAAAAATAAGCAAAAAAAAATAACAATAGGTTGTAAATAAAAACTATCGGTCACAAGCACAAAAATTTCACTTTCACCTCAAACGGGGACTAGCACGCCGCCTTCGGACAACAACATGGCATACAACACTGGTAATTGGGGTTACAATGCGGATCGCAAGGAGGCTCCGGACACTCCACGCAGTCCGGATCGTCGTCATCGCACTCCACGTACTGTCCTGGAGGCATGTAGCTCATCTTGTGCACCGTGTTGTCCTCCATCCTCAACTTAGGCGGCTGGTACTTGGGCTTATCCGCCCACGGCGTCTCCATAGGCTCCGTCGGCTCCCACGGCTGGTACGACATATTGTGAATCGTCTTGTCGCTGATCTTCCCCGTCGGCTTCTCGATCGCGTTCACCGGGTACACCGGGTCCACGCGCACCGGCGCCACCGGCATATACGACAACCGATTCACCGTCTTGTCGCTCAGAGGACAATCGCTGGAGAAGAGATTCACTTGTGGACGGATTGCATCAGGGCGCGAGAACGGCTTCGGGACGTAGTCGTGCTTCTGCGTGGTGATATCCTGCATGGGCCCCTCCCCCAAGAGCCGGTGCTCGCACGGGTAGATCGGGCACGGCGGGAGCACCTTATGCGGAAGGTACGACATATTGTGGACGGTGTTGTCGGACATCTTGCCCTCTCCCACGCACAGGTTGTTCTCGGGGTACACGGGGGCGGCGCGCTCCGCCTCGGTCGGCAGGTACGACTTCCTGTAAATGGTGGACTCGTCCATCTTGGCGGCGGGCGGCAGGTACTTGCGCTCGGGCGCGTACGATTTGGGCCGCGGCGGCTGGATGTACTTGCATTTCTTGCGGGGGCGGCAGGGCTCGCAGGCGGCGGGCGTGACCACGGGCACGCACACCTGGCAGCAGTCGCAAGGGGGCTGCGCCGGCGGCGGCGGGCACGGGTTCACGAGTATCTTCGGCATACCGTCGGCGAGCACCGGGATGCAGCACGGCTTGCAGCAGTTCGGGGGACACGTCACGTTGGAGCGGCTCTTGCGGGGCGACCCCACGGCGTTGGCGCCGCAGGTTTTGCAGTCCATTTTGGAAGTGCCGAAAGTGAAATTTTGGTACAACGGATGTCAGAATTTTACGAATGGCAGGAAGGGAACGGACGCCCACTTGGATTTTATTGCATTATTTTTGAAGATTTATTAATTTATTACCTTAATTTAGGAAAGTTTTGTATGGAGAAAAGAAGAGAATTAAAAATTTGAAAGATATTTTTGCCTCTTTGGAATGCTTAAACAACCAGTACTCGAAGACTGGTGCTCCCCAGTAGGGACAAGCCGAATTTTAATCGAAGAAAGTCAAAAGCACCAAAAGCGTAGAAGTTTTCCAATACATGCAATACACTATTCTATCGAAAATCAATTCAAGTTTTTGTTGGCGTAAAACTCATTAGTGGAAAGAAAGAAGTCTTGAGAAATTGTTTTTAAAGTTTACTGAAATAATCAATTTCAGAAATTCTAACCTAACGTATGTTACTTGTTGAAGAAAAAACTTTCATATTAACATGTTTAGCGATAATATTTATGAATTCCGTCGTTTTTGCCACTCCATCAACATTTAAGTTCTTGAAAGGTTGTACCTATTCCTTTCAGCACTGTTGTAGAAAAAACCTTTTGAAAAATGGGCTTTGTGAGAACTTATTTTGAATTAAAACTTACGAGAAATACATATATACTTAAATAGTAGAACTTTATTGATATAATATTACAAACACCAAAGTACAAATACGTGCACGTGTATTGAAAACGCAGCATTCCTAAAACAACAGAAAAAAAATTGTTTCAGAAATCAAGATTAAAAAGATAAACTTCACTTGCGGTTATTTGACTATATTTCATTGACAGTCAGAAAAATGGTCAAATAAAGCAAATAATAATTAATATTCTTTAGTACTATTCGTGTCGAAGAACAAGGGACGGAAGAGCTACCTAGTCCAAAACTCATGTTGTATTGAGAACACCTGTTCAACAAAATTCCACGTGCTTTTGCCCAGTTTACGACACTCTGAACATCCTTCAAGGTCAAATATCCACAAGAGAACTCCAACCTAACAATTTCCCTGCTGCTTAAAACCGCGGAAATGTTTTCCAATGGATTATTTGCCAAATTCAAAATTTCGAAGGTACGGTTCTTTATAATATTTCCAGAAAAACTCTTGATTTTGTTTCCGTCTAAGTCCAGTTCTAGTTTAAATTTCAACGATATCCCTTCGAGAAAGTTTCCGATTTGAAATATCTTGTTGCAACTTAACCAAATCAACGCATCTTTCTCAAGAAAACTAAGAGCTCCATCTTGTAAGCTTCGGATGTGGTTTCGTCGTAAATCGAGAATATGTAGACTGGGTAGAGAAGAAAAGGCTCGAGAATTTAACACTTGCAAATTATTTGTCTCTAATGATATTTCACGCAATTTTGTCAAATTGAAGAAAGTTCCATCTTCTAAAGTTTCAATGAAATTATGTCTTAAGAACAAATTGACAATATCCAAATCTTTAAAAGTGCCGCTTTTTATTGAAGTAAGTGCATTAAACGAGAAATCGATCCTCTTCGTAACATTTTGCACAGACCGAGAAAAACATGTTGCTTCAATGTATCGAATAGAACCAGCACCAAAAACAATTTCTTGAATTCTGTGATCAAGATTCATCATGTCGCAACACAATTTAGGAAGAAACTGTTTATCAACAGTGATGGTCACTCCATCGAAGTTGTCCAAGACTTTAATAACGTTTGCGACGACGGTTTGACTTGTTATAGAGGCATTAAGTAACGTGTACTTTAAAGATGGTGCTACCCGGTAAGGACAAGCCCGATATTGATCGAAGAATGTCAAAATCACTAACAACGTACAAGTTTTCCATGACATGATGTGCACTGAAACGCAGTGAAACTCTTTCTGCACAAAAGCGCTGTTCCATCTAAAATCAATTAAAGTTTTTTAAAAGTGATCGACTTTTCATGAAATTCAAGTTGATTAATTTTTAAACAGAACAGTCGACTAAAAAGTGTAACATTAATTGCACTATTAAGTGGAAAGCAGGAAGTTTTAACGAACTTGCTCAACACCGGTAATGATTAACATTTGATAACATAATCAATTAAATAAAAAAAATATATTGAAGAATATTACAACCACAAATATGATATACAAATATGCAACAAACACATTATGAAAAAAGAAACTTTTTTTTCAGAAATCAAAACTAAAAATATACACTTCATTTTCTGTTCCTTGCCAATTAGGATAAGGTAAAGACTACTAACATATCGACTATATTTCATTAACAACCAGAAAAATGCTCAAATAAAGCAAATAATAATTATTGCTATTTAGTGCCATTCGTGTTGAAGAACAAGAGATGGTAGAGCTGGCTAGCCCAAAACTGATGTTGTATTGAGAACACCTGTTCGTAAGCAACAAAATTCCACGTGCTTTTGCCCAGTTTACGACACTCTGCACATCCTTCAAGCTCAAATATCCACAAAAGAACTCCAACCTATCAATTTTCGCGCTACTTAAAACCGCGGAAATGTTTTTCAGTGGATTATTTGCCAAATTCAAAATTTGAAAGGTGCGGTTCTCTACAATATTTCCAGAAAAACTCTCGATTTTGTTTCCGTTTAATTCCAAATTTAGTTTAATTTTCAACGATATCCCTTCGAGAAAGTTTCCGATTTGAATTATCTGGTTGCAATTCAATGAAACAACCGCATCTCTTGCGAGAAAATTAAGGGCCCCACGTTGTAAATTTCGAATGCAGTTGTGCCCTAAATACAGACTTTGTAGACTAGATAGCGAAGAAAACGCTTCGGAATTTAACACTTGCAAGTTATTTTTCTCTAAAGATAACATACGCAACTTTGTCAAATTGAAGAAAGCTCCATCTCCTAGAGTTGCGATGAAATTATCACTCAACCACAATTCTGCGATTTCCAAATGTTTAAAAGTACTGCTTTTTATTGAAGTAAGTGCATTAAACGAGAAATCGATCCTTTCCATAACATTTTGCACAGACCGAGAAAAACATGTTGCTTCTATGTATCCAATAGAACCAGCTCTAAAAATAATTTCTTTAATTCTGTGGCCAAGATTCATCATGTCGCAACACAATTGAGGAAGAAATTGCTTATCGACAGTGATGGTCATTCCATCGAAATTATCCAAGACTTTAATAACGTCTGCGACAACGGTTTGACGCATAGACACATTAAGCAATGTGTACTTTAAAGATGGTGCTAGCGGGTAAGGACAAGCCCGATACTGATTGAAGAAAATCAAAATCACTAACAACGTATAAGTTTTCCATGACATGATGTGCACTGAAACGTGGTGAAAGTCTTTCTGTACAAAAACGCTGTTCAATCGAAAATCAATTAAAGTTTTTGCTACAAAAGTTACCTAAAGGTTGTCGACTTTCCATGAAATTCAAGTCGATTAATTTTTAAACAGAACAGTCGACTGGAAGTGTAACATTAGTTGCACTATTAAGTGGAAAGAAGGAAGTTTTAACGAACTTACTCAACACCGGTAATAATTAACATTTGATAACATAATTGATTAAATAAAAAAAATATATTGAAGAATATTACAAACACAAATATGTTCTACGAGTGTCAAACCAATACAATACATATCGTTTTAAATTAAAGCGATTACTTAACACAATGGTACTTTTTTCCTAGAACTGCTCAGAAGACGTTAATAAATACAAGCTTCAATTTCCGCCACCTGGCAATGAGGAGAAAGTACCGTTACTGATTCAGTGATATATTTGGTTGACAATTCCAAAAATGTTCAAATAAAACAAATAACTGTAAATCAAAGCATCTCGTGCTGCTGTGCAAGAAATGGGCTGATGACCTCCATCAAAACTGATGTTGTATTGAGAACACCCGTTCAAATACAACAAAGTGTTATGTCCTTTTGCCCAGTTTACGACACCCTGAGCTTCCTTCAAACGCAAATATTCACAGGAGAATTCCAACCTTTCGATTTTCGTGCTACCCAAAACAGCTGAAATGTTTATCAATGGATTATAAGCCAAATTTAAAGTCCCAAAGGTGCGATTCTCGACAATATTTCCAGAAAAGGTGGTGATTTCGTTTCCATCTAAGTCCAAATTTAACTTAATATTCAACGGTGTTCCTTCGAGAAAGTTCCCGATTTGAAATATATTGTTGCAAGTCAACGAAACAGACGCACTTTTTGAAAGAAAACTAAGAGCTCCATGTTGTAAATGTTTAATGCGGTTCTGGTGTAATTCTAGATCTTCTAGCTTGGGTAACGCAGAAAAAGCTCGAGAATTTAAAACTTGCAAGCGGTTTCTGTTTAAAGCTATAACTCGCAGTTTTGTCATATTTAAGAAAGCTCCATCTTCGAGGGTTTCGATGAGGTTGTTAGTTAACACCAATTGTTCTATCTTCAAATTTGTAAAAGTGCCTCTTTTAATTATAGTAAGTGGGTTACTTTTGAACTCGATATTTTTAGTAACGTATTGTATTGACGCAGAAAAGCATGCTTCTTCTATGTATTGAACAGAACTAGAGTGAAAAACAATTTCTTGAATTTCTCGAGTGAGATTCAACATTTCACAACATAATTCAGGAAGAAATTGGTTAACAACATAGATCGATTCTTCGTAATTATCCAAGACTTTAATTATGTTTGTGACGACGGTTTTCTGTAATAGTCCCTCTCGAGAATAATTAAATAACTGATATTCTAAAACTGGCACTTCCCTGTATGGACAAGCCAAATTTTCATCCAAGAAAGTCAAAAGCAACAAAAACGTAGACGTTTTCCACAACATGACGTGCACTAAAGCGCAGTAAAACTGTTTCTCAACAAATGCACTATTCCATCGATAATAAATTAGTTTTTAAAAGTGTTTTCTGAAAAAGTAGTCAACTTTTACGTGAAACTCAAGTCGTAATTTTTAATGGAAAGAACGAAGTCTTGGGAAATTTGCTCAACACTGCTAATGGATTAACATTTGCTAACGTAATCAATTTTGCAAATTTTAACCTAACGTAACGTATGTTAATTGTTGAAAAAAAGAGCCTTTAATTTAACATGTACTTTAAAGAGGGTACTATCCAGTAAGGACAAGTCGAATCTTGGTCCAAGAAAAAAGCACTACTACAGTATGTAAAAGTTTTCTATGGCGTG